CCAAGGTACCGTGTTAATTCACGGTTCGTTAGGGACGGGGGCCTTCAGCAACTCCCCAGCGCTATACACCAGTTTAACGTCCCCCCGGACCCTCTCGGGTCCACCTCCCCCTGTTAGAAGCATGGTATTGGGGACCCCATCCCCCTACCCACTTCTCGGGTGTGAGCCCTGCTTGAGAGGGAATGATAATTTCTAGAGTAGTGCGATTCGGTCCCAATGGTTGGAGACCTCGCATCATGTATGGTTCAACAAGCCCTGTTGTATATCCATGGATGAGCTCCTGGAAACATCCAGCCATTTGAAAGTCTTCATCCAAACCAAGACGAAAACCAGGCATGTTTTTGGCAGCAAATTTAACTGCCTGGAGCAACTGCTTTGCTCCCTCTACCGGAGTCTCGTCACAGGAACGTTTCGGGCAAGCGATGTTAATTTCTTGTGGTTTCTGCGCATTCTCAGGAGCATTCTCGAGAAGTTTGGGAGCGATTTTGCTGGCCCAGCTGGCCGGGAACCATGCCAGTAGGGCAGAGGCACCACTCGTAAGGTCCACTAGCCCAGTCATGCGTCGATGCGGCCGATCTGTGACCAGGACTTTAACTGGGCCACTCGGCGCTCGACTCCGGTTCACCTCAGAGCTCTCTCGGGCCGAGCCAATGAGTTCAGACAGGATGGGCCGAAACCAGTACGTGGCATACAGCAAGCATTCAGTTTCTGGAGTCACCATGGATTCAGCCAATCTCATCAAAGAGCTCATCGCCTGGGCGAGCTTCTCTGCCAAACGAATTGTGAGAGCCCTTGCCACCTGCAGGAGGACATCCTCCACCCTGGCAATTTGCCCGCGCAACCACAGTTCACAGGCCACACTCAGCAAGATGCGCGCAAACTTTTCTTGGATGGCAGTCAAAGACAACGTCAATCTTGCCTGTAGCCACAACGGTGGGAGAGCTCCAAGGTTTTCGGGTATGCAAAAAGGGTTTCCGTTGGGTTGGACATTAGAAATCAGGATTGCTAGCTTGTCAGCTGCACTCGCGATCTCATCTTCAGAGGGATCTTCAGCTGCATCAGGTATGGGTGGGCACCATGCAACTGTAGGGTCTTCTGGATCACTCTCGTCATCGGTAGAGACTGCTTCCTCATCCGAGGAGGGGTCATTCACTGTGTCTCCTGCACCCTCGGGGCTTGCGAGTTTCATGGACCCTGGATCAATCTGGCGATCCAATGTGTCCAAGAGGTCCGGTTGCAACCGATGGGCATCGAAATAATGAATACCCGGTATTACGACGAGTTGCCGATCCTGTATACCCACGTGAAAGAAGACCTTGTGGCCTCGATGTCGATGAACAAGTGCTGGGGGCCCATTATAGGCTGCACACAGCCAGAGAGGAGATCTGTAACCATCAGCAGCATAACCATACAAGTATTCACGATCGATCGAGCAGGGAAAAAAACCGCTGGTCGTCAGCACATGGTCACGTGTGCGAGACTCTAGCGCTGCAAGGACATCAAGGGGAAGACGTAACTTATCTCTGCATGCCACAACCAACCTATCGTCGCCACGCTCGCGTGCCATTGATGGTCACAATCATGGCAATAGCAAGAGGGGGTTTGTCTTGGGGAGTAAAAGGTGCCCCTAATCCCCAGTCCAGGATAGCAATTTTGTCGCTGGGGTAGGTTGTAGGGCCATGGTACTGAATGTCTCGGTCTTTCAATGTGAAGTATCCATAGTGGTACACTCCCAGTGTCTGGGCCATGCCAATCATGCCTGCCATATCAAGAGGCGAGACAATATAGGTATGTTCAATGGCTCTTGTGAGCGCTACTGTTGCTCTCCCATAGCAGTCTTCACGCTCGTCTGCTGTTGCATCTCTGCGTCCTCCACTGAGAAACCCACAGCCTGTTTGAACAATGACCGCAATGCGTGCTGTTGCCCCCGCGGCAGAGGAAGTGGTGGAAACTCTCAGCCCACCATACCACATAGACTGGAAGCCATGTTGGAGTAGCAAGTTGTGCACCGCAGTACGGTTGCATAAGACAAGCAGCTGCGAGGTCGCTCCCTGTTGCAAGTTGCGATAATAATTCTTCAGATAGGTGCAGAAAGCAACGACGTCCTCAACAGCAGCTCTTAGATCTTTAGGTGCATTCCACAGTACCGTCCGGAAACCTCCTTGTGCCACAGTGGACTCATGTGGCACGAAGTGTCCAATGTATATGTGATTGGGCTCGTGGAGGACTAACTCAGGATACCGAACTGCCACGATAGCTTGGTAAGTCAGCATTGAGACCCGTGAGCTGTTAGGGAGAATGATACCCCAACGGTGAGGACCACATAGCCCGGCTGCTTCAAGGGTTGTGGTACACTCAGGTACTCCAAACTCCTCTGGTGCTGTGGCAATCAGCAGGACTGCTAGAGCTGCTGCAATTAGGCTGCTGTGTGCATCCAGCTGGCACGAGATTCGGCAGTGAAACACCCGCCCTAGGGCGACAGGCAGCTCGTAGTCTTGCAGAGTGGATGTCCATGGGCCACTATGCGGCTTGTTTGCAAGTCTCAGCAGACTAAAGAGATCTGACTCCGGATCTTGGCTCGCATCAGGCCAAAGCTGAGCGACAAGTGCTGCCATTCGTGCCGGTGGAAGATAGTCTCCTGGCCTATCAAGCGCTCTGAGCCCTAACGGCCGTTGCAGCAGTTTGCGTCGATTGGCAGCCGCTGCTCGACCTTTTGACAGCCCTCCTGGAGTTTGCCTGTGATCGCCAATGAAGACAGTGAGAGTTGGTTGTTGAATGGCAGCGAGAGCTGCGATCTCATGGTAGTTGCCATACTGTTGGCTTTCGTCCATGAAAGCTAGCCAGGTGCGAGAGATCCAATGACCAAAAGTGGAATAGCGCATCGCCATTTCAGCCGTGGCTGAGCCACCTGTTGCAATGAGCACATTCTTGTACGCGATGATTTTATTACGGTCACTGCACCGGACGTCAATTTTGGAGGCATATGCTTCTCCTTTACCTTCTTCCATGCGACCAATTAGCCTACCGAAGCTCCTGATTGTGGGGGGCGCTAAATCACTTAATTGATCCGCAAGTGCTTTGGCAGCTACATTTTCTTTCGTATAGACGATCGCAACAAAGTCCTTGAGTTCACAGCTCAGCGCAATGAGCAAGACCGCAAGGGACCGCGTTTTGCCAGCACCAAAGACCCCTGCAATACATAAGTCGGATCTACCTCTCAGAATAGCCAGCAACAGTGCAATTGAGACCGTTAAGACATGTCCATCACCGTGGGCTGCTAGAGGGAGGAGGTACTCACGGTAATAACTGTCATGGGCCCCTTCCATCGAGATCGTGGCTGGTGTCAGGAACCGGCTCAAGATTCTGACTAGTGCATCGGTCAGCTTCGTTTTGTCGCTGAGCAGGGTTCTTGCTGGTTCCGCTGTGCATCACCTTTTCATGTACCAGTAGTATAACACACCGCTGCTGAGTGTCTGGCAACTGGAGTACCCCTAGTAGCGCTCTGCCCGCCATCACGTTGGCTTCCAGATTGCCTAGATTCCCAGCTTCACAGAGATCACGCGGCGAGGTCTTTGGAACATCCGAAGGTGCACTAAAGAGTAGGAGAGGGGCACCTTCCGTATGTAGGTGAATGACATGAAAATCAGCATACGCCTCATATTGGTAGGTGACCTGCAACCGTGTTCCAGTTTGTCCTCGATTCTTCTGCTGAGCTAGTTCTACACTGACCCAGGGCTGAAGGTGTTGGAGCTGCCGTCCAGCATGATAGGCGTCTAGTTGCGGAAGCACCATTTATAAACAGACCTTGTCCCTCACATAACGGCATAGCACGAACTCCGCAAACGGCATAGCACGGAGTTATCCAACATAAACATACATAGCGTATCCATATAGTCATATATAATTCGCAAACGCATACGAAGCATATGAGGATAAAACAACTGCACAAAGAAAACTCATCGCACGAAAACATACGTGAACGAAAAACATGCAACATCGAAAAACATCGCAAAAACATAAATGAGAAAATATGCAATCGACAAAGTTTCGCTCCACTCACACTTTTCTCATCTGGCGGACAAGGGTGAAATGTCTCTCGCATATGGTTTGCATGTTCCATCGACTTGTGGTTCCTCGGCATTGAGAAACTCCTGAGAAAATCATTGCATTGGTTTTCAGGACTGCATGTCCGGTTTCATTCACATCACCCAGGGCGGGTACATAGTACATTTGGGCGGGAAGAAAAATTTGACCCAACAGCTTTGTTGGTGTCCCACCCTACCCTACCCTGCATCTTGAGGTACATTCACATAGAGATAGATCATGAGTTCAGAAGGAAGTGTTTGGGAGAAGCACAAGCATGACATACGTCATCAGTCCATATATTACCAAAACATGTATATACACGCAACATGTGCAATACGTACGTGCATGAGTACGCAATGCGACCATGTCCAAACACAACTTAAAAGTTCACAGGTTTGTTGTTTGTCAAACATTTTTTTTCGGGCCGCCTTAAAAAGGCTTCAAGGTCTTGTTTATAAACAGCTATTAGACACGTCTAACTGCAACCTTATAAACAGACCTTGTCCCTCACATAACGGCATAGCACGAACTCCGCAAACGGCATAGCACGGAGTTATCCAACATAAACATACATAGCGTATCCATATAGTCATATATAATTCGCAAACGCATACGAAGCATATGAGGATAAAACAACTGCACAAAGAAAACTCATCGCACGAAAACATACGTGAACGAAAAACATGCAACATCGAAAAACATCGCAAAAACATAAATGAGAAAATATGCAATCGACAAAGTTTCGCTCCACTCACACTTTTCTCATCTGGCGGACAAGGGTGAAATGTCTCTCGCATATGGTTTGCATGTTCCATCGACTTGTGGTTCCTCGGCATTGAGAAACTCCTGAGAAAATCATTGCATTGGTTTTCAGGACTGCATGTCCGGTTTCATTCACATCACCCCGGTCTGCTTTAGCACACTGTGGATTTTAAAGGAAGCTTCGTCACTGGGCAAAACGGCTGTACGCATTTGTAAGGCCTCAGAAACTCAAGCTCCTTGAGAGACCCTCTGCTAGGGTGATCTGCAACATTCGAAGCTGAAGGCACGCGTGCGATCCAAAGCATGAAGTTGTCTTCCACCGGGTCCTCAAGAAGCAAAAGAAGCTCTCTCCATTCAGGCTGGAGCGACGTGCCCTTGACCAAAACATCAAGCGCAGGCCAGTTGTCGACAAAGAGGATGACGCGTCTGGACGACACGTCAGGCTTCCAATGCAAGAGCGAGACGACGCAGGCATACAATTCAACGAGGCCAATCACATGAGTCTTTCCGCCGTCTTGCCACCTTTTCAAGACATCGTCCGGGACTGCGCAACCAAAGACTTCGCAAGCGCCATCCGGCTTTAGGGAAACCCCGCCAATGGTCGCCTTTGCAGCATCACCTTCATATTCCAGAGCCCCGTCAGTAAAGATCAAGACTGGCTTCTCTACGTCATCAGCAAGGGAAGTCTTTGGTCGGCCTGAGCAAAGCCGGCACCTGAGAGTCTCAAACGCCTTGAGCTGGGATTCTTCAAGCACGACCTTCGAAGGAGAAGTATGCCCCAACTCCCGCAAGTCAGCAAGAGCAAGTTTTCCAGCTCTGCCCCAAACATGTGTCGGCGTACTGCAACTTCCCCAGGACCGACGGCATAGAAGTCGGAATCACAAATTTTTCATTCAATATGCCAAGCAAGGCATCATTCAACTCCTCCACTCTGGAGGGCTTATTCGAGATGGAGACACGGCCCTCACTGCTAAGGCCAAGGTCGAACACCACGCCAAGGATCTCGGCGCTGCGCTCAAACGGCAAAAGCTTCTCCTCAGAGTACACGAAGCCGAACAGGGACATCATTCCCCTTGCGCATGCAAGAGTAGAACCAGTATGCAGGCTGTGCGACAACATCGGAAAGTCGTCGAAATAACTCATCCAAATGATGCCAAGGTGGCACCCCGCAGCCTGCAAGAAAGCGCTGACGCGCAAGAAGTTGTGTACACTTGCCGACGCCCCGAACGGAAGGACGTGGCATTCGAAACACTTGACATCCCTGTCTTTGACGCTCCACAAGGAAACGATGGATTTGTCAAAATCCAAGGGGCTCAGAGGAAGTTGCTTGTAAGCGGACTTCAAGTCCATTGCAGTGATCCTCAGATCAGGCGGCATAGCCAGCCACTCCGGATGGACACACCCATCCAGGACCGTCCCATCAGACAATGTGAAAGAAACATGACCCCCAGACCTGTAGAAACGCATCAAGAAAATAGACGCCCAGACCAAGTGATCCAAAGCATACAAGGTCGCCCTCTCCGTGCTTGAAAAGGTGTCATTGACCCTATTTTCACGCAGATCATCAATTGGGCGAAGCTTGTCCTTCTGGACCACAGGGAACCTCCTGACCGGCAACCACCGCCCATTGTAGCGCTGATCCATTTCGACAGGACTGTAAGGACCCTTAAGCCACGACTTCTCTTTTGCCTCGGCGACAGTGATGTCGTAAAGAGCACTTGAATGCTCGCCACCTCCACTGGCACGAATCTTCCCAAGCAAAGCAGGCTTGAGGAACTTTGCATCACGCATGAGTTGTTCTTCGCTAAGTGTCGCGGCCTTGAGGCCCTGTTGAAAAACGTTCGACCGAGTCGCATTACCAACCAGTCTGAAACCAGTTGCAAGCTCGCTGAACAACTCAGTGTCAGGCCATCCAATTTCTTCCGCAACTTTCTTCATGAGGAGCAGGCGCTTTGCTCCCAGGACTGCTCTCACCCTGGGGTCCAATGTCAACTTGTATTCGCTCTCGTCTTTGGCCAAGTCACGCGCCCAGGATGTCCACAGTTTCAACCTCTGGATCCTCAACTTGACAAGATCCATAGGGGACTTGGTCAGATGTTCAAAAAGACACCTGAGCAAATGGTCTGGCATGTGGGCCGCCAAATCGAAAGGGTGCCAGAGCGACTTTGCAACATGCACGAACTTCTCACATGTATGAAAAACACCAAAAATGCACAAGACCATCTTCCCCTTCTTCTCGGAACGCAGGAGCTTGCTCCCAACTGGGACATTTCTACAAGGCTGCATCAAACAACGCTTTGAGTCAAGGGCCGGAGTATTGTGAAGTAGCAGACTGACGACTAGCTCATACTCAGGAATGAGTTGAGGCGTAGCTCGACCCCTGGGCTGCCTGTGCGCTCGAGGTTGCTGCAAGCTCGCAGGCGATATCTTGATGCCCTTGTCGGAGCACAATTCATCCACAAATTTCACCAATTGTTCACACATAGCATCCGGGTATTGGGCTTCCAACGCCGTTGCAAAACCTCCATCAGCAGAAATGCCCCACGGAGCATGTTCGTGAGGTTCCACGTCCCCACAAAACTTTTGCATCATGTGAATGCCAGATCTGTTGCTCAGAAAGGAGGTCTTCTTAGGCCTAGAACTCCCGTATGCGCAAGCATGACAATGCGCAAAATACCCATGTTGCACAGCATAAGAGAAATAGCCAAGCTCCCACAAGAAACTGTTTGTTGGATTTTCGAGCACCCATGCAACGCCTTTTGAATCCAACCATTCTATGAACTTGCCCATTCTTTCATACAGCATGTTGGCAGCATTGACCTTGATCCTGTCAAGAGGAGTCATGTCTGGCACTCCAAGTAGATGTTCAGACGTACGAAGAGGCTGAGGCCCGGGCGACCCATCGGGCATGGGTATACCCCTTGCTTTGCTGCACGTTCCACAAGGTGGCGCCAAATGCACCGCCACCACATCGCAAGTGTCGACAATGTACTCCAAAACCTCCCAAGCATGGGCCTCTGACAAATCCAAGGAGACAATGCGACACCGAGGCTTATGTCGATTCCTCTTGCAGTCAACTGGGAGAACTCTGTACCCATGCCTCTGGGCGGTAGCACTCAAAACAGCGCTACCAGCGCACAACTCGATGAAAACCATTTGCCTATCTGTGGTACCGCCACCAAAACCATCAAAATCAAATTCTCCATGTGAATCTCTTGAAGAAGAACATGAAGCAACATGGTCCGTTTCGGACTGGGCTGCAGGCATTTCAGCAGCGACAAATTCAGCTGACATGACAGCCTTCTTTGAAGGTTGGCCCCCGGCTCCCAGTCTTGCATTGACTGGGCTCCGAGAGCGGTCATCAGCGCCCATGGATTCGGCACCCAATGCGGGACCTAGTCACTCCCGCGCAGCATTTCCCTTATCGGGACACTCAACTGCCATGTGCATCTTTCGACAACCTTTAACCGCGCACAAGTGCAATCCCTTGCCGCAGCGCTGATCCTTGACGGGCAGCTTGCATCTCCTCAAGTTGTAGTCGAAGCACAAACGATGGCCTTTGGTCGTAGCACCTACACATCCCAAGGCCAACAACTCACTCGGGACTCTCATGAAATTTCCCTTTGAAGCACCTTTCAAGTTTTGCGGGCCCGTTTTGGGCTTCTTGGTGGCAGGCTCTTCCGAAGGTTTCTGCTTGGAAGGTCCCGGAGATGAAGCAGGAGGAGCAAAACGATGCTGCAAAAGGTTCAGAAACTCAGGACTGTCCAAACATGCATCAAAATTCTCATCACATGGACGGCCTGCAGGGCCAGACTTGATACCATCACGCGTCTTTTCTGCCATGAGTGTCCAAAACTTTTTATCTGCTGTCTCAATCTGTTTCAGGCTGAGCTTCAGGCAACCGCTTGGTGGTTCTTCCATACGGGCACATGAGTTTTTCTGCCAAACGATCATGCAACTTGAAACACATAATATTGGCCTGATCGAGCGCCAAACCTCTTCGGATGAGACAGTAGCGCACCTGCATCTCATTTCCAGTGCTACACGGTTCAACCTGGTCGCGCTTGGATAACTTCAAAGTGCCTGAGGAATCAAAGCTGAGGTTTGCATCTTTCTTGGTCCCTGTGACTATTTCATGGTCACGAGAAACGCAAACATCCCATGGTATGTAAGAAACCCTGTCTGATTCATAAGCAGCAACGGCTCGATCCACAAGTGAGTCTCCAGGTTCGTAATTTCCTCTAAGGTCGAGGCCGGACAACCTGGTCTGCTGATCCTTCAAACGCTGGGACCTCTCTGCAGGTGCAAGCTTCTTCACCGAAGCCTCGTCAGAAGCCTCAACCTTTGACCGAATATCAGCAGCAATAGTCGAGTAGGCTTTACTGAACAACCTCCTAATGCATGCCATTTCTTTAGTAGAAGGTGCACTTCCCAACACATTTGTGGCCAACGTGACAAGCGGCCTCTCATCCGCGGTCCCTGGAGCATAGTTGCATGAGAACGCAAACGTTCCCAAGGTGTTCAGGCCTTCTGCATTGAAGGCTTCATAGTTAGCATCAGTAAGACCAACTTCCAGAAACCTCTTTTTGAAAACTGCCTTGCTGTCGCTATAAGACATGGTGCAAGCTGGAGCCGAGACTTCGAAATAACTTCGATAAAATTTCATGTGAACACCTTGCATCAGGCGGTCAACATTGCATTGCATCATACTGGACGTCACTGCATATGACGGCAAGCATTCATGAAAAAACTGGCATCAACATGACACAAAAATTTGAAACCCCACAAAAATGGATCAAAGTACAAGTTCACACCACCCCAGCAGCATATTTTCACGACCGAAATCCTTGAATCATATACCATAGAAGGATGAAAGAACTCCAGAGGTCGCTCGGGAGCTAACATTGGGCAGACATAGCTCCGCCAAAGGGGGTGTGTGCCACCCTCATTCATCCAGCAATGGTTGCATCCGGAGGCCATGCGCCTCACATAGAAAACCTTCCCAAGGGATAGGGCGTCCAACAACGCCTCACGGTCTCCTCCCGAAGGATCATGTCAACTTCTTCATCCCATCCACAGTTTGAAAAACGCAGGGCCAGCACGCCGTCATCAGACGACAGCTGTTGCAGCACAAATCCAAGAATGCATTGTGTCAGGATTGAAAGTGAATCCACAAAACATTTCCAATGACTACCCCTTAATGAAGTCGTAGACCCTGTACTCTTCCAGTGGCGGACTGCCAACACTCGTGTCATTGCAAAATCATATGCATCACGACATGGGCCCTGCTCTGCAGTGGAGGAACTCGATGACCTGCTTACCAATGCATCAAACACAGACTCGACCAGTCCTTCTGTTGCAATCTCCAACGAATCAGCCAAAATTTGAAACAGCATCGTCACAACAGCCATGACACTCACGAAAAATATCATCATCCACTTCTTGTAAGCGTATTTCAGCCCAAAGCAGATCTCCTCGACCCATGGACATAAATGCGCATCGTGCAGAAACTTCTCACTGCGATTGTAATTCGAAACGATTGCAAGTAGGAACGCAAAAGGTTCCGGTCGGGGTTGCTCCAACAGCAGCACAAGAGTCGCGACCCCAACAGTTCTCAACAGCGCTCCACGCACATTCCCAACCAATTCAATTTGGTCATACATCTTAGCGTCACATGACAGTATCAAGTTGCCGGCACTGTTTTTCAAGTACGGCTGTCTGAAAAGCATGCAAGACTGTGATGTGTCTGTACCAGTGAGCTCGTCATCAAGAGAAAAACCCCCCTCGAGCTTTAGGGACATTAGGACAAGAAATAGTCCAATTGTAAAAACTGTCAGAGCCACTGCGGCTAAAGCCAAAAGTGCCATGGTCACCTGGTTAGTACCATGTGTGAGAGGCACATCGATGCCGTACATGGTCCCTGGCTGTGTTGGCGCAAAACGCGTTGCAGCCACACATGCTGCAAACATAATGGCACTGTTCGTCAGGAAGTGGCCCTTCGGGCGTTCCAGGAGACGGTACTGACCATGGGTGTACCGTTGAGGATCCCGTAGAATGTAAGTCTGTTGTCTCTGCGGCCATCCCACTGTCAGCTGCGTCTGGGCCATGTGTTACTCCGCTTTCCTCGTCGATGTCACCGATCTGTGCACCCACCGTGATGGGAATGCGGAGTCGTCGGGCGACTTCGCAGAGCAATGTGAAGAGGAGCGTCAGTAATTGTGGCCCCGACAAACCTTGTAGCTGGGAAGCATCCATCAAGAAAAATTTGACCCAACAGCTTTGTTGGTGTCCCACCCTACCCTACCCTGCATCTTGAGGTACATTCACATAGAGATAGATCATGAGTTCAGAAGGAAGTGTTTGGGAGAAGCACAAGCATGACATACGTCATCAGTCCATATATTACCAAAACATGTATATACACGCAATACGTACGTGCATGAGTACGCAATGCGACCATGTCCAAACACAACTTAAAAGTTCACAGGTTTGTTGTTTGTCAAACATTTTGTTTTTTTTTCGGGCCGCCTTAAATCAACGCTGCAGCCGCCACGCAAAATGACAGAGCAAGGAAGAATACTTCCGAGAAACGGTGAACACAAAAACACGTGTTCGAAAATTAAACCAAACCAAACCAAAGGGCGTGGTCGTGTCACACATCATGGCAAGTCGGCCATGACCCATTCGTTCATCTGCATGTCAAGCAAAAAGGGCATGGAGCCCAACCATCCATCCAAAAACTGCCATGCTTTCTGTTCCAAGAAAAACATCGAGGCACCTTCAAAAACACGTGCCGGGCCGCTCATGCCATATCCCCCGCTGCTGATGTGAGAGCTCCTTCAGCTGGAAGACCATGGGTCAGCGACGGGAGGAGCTGTAATGGTGAGCGCGAGGTTGTTGAGCACGACAGCTGGAGCGGTGTCAGGACCGCCGGTGTCGGGAGCGGTTTGATGGGCTACCTGTGCATCAGGTCGCAACTGCAGGATCTGATGTATGCTCTGAAAGAGCAACATGGCGTCATCCAGGAGGGCCGACATCTCACGATGCAATTGTTCGTCATATTTGTCATGAAACCAATCAGTGTACTCGGCAAGAGACTGGATGGCGATCGGGATGAGTCGGGCCCACTGTTGGAAGCCATCCCGCATGATGGCTGAAATTGGGAGATTCTCCCGGGGTAGCGCCAATTGTGAGCTCGTTTGCACAGGCTGCTCGGGGAAGATGAGCGCCTCCATGAGTATGAGGGAGTGCGTCAAACCGCTCCAAAGCTGAAAGAGCGAATCCAAATATCGCGGGCGCCCCAAAAACTGGAGCACCGCCACACAAGCTGCAACTATGTCCTCAAACTGGCGGACCCTGCCGGCTGTTTGGTCGTTGATCTGCTGTTGCAGGAAGGCAACGCCCACGGTGGCCATGACCGTGAAGTTCACAATCTCAGGGGTCTGCATCGGGAGGATGCCAGCGTTCTGCGAGGCTTGAACCGTATGGACTCGCGCAAATTGCAACTCAAGAGGGTGGGAGTGCAAACAGGGCGGGACAAATTTTGTCACCTTGAGTTGGAAAAAGTACTTGAAACCAAAAATGGCAAACATCTTCATCCAAGACATGCGACTGTGCACTGGCGTGACATCTCGATATGAACACACTGAACATTAAGTGGCAGGTTCTTACACGGTTTGAAACAGGTCTGTTTCAAGAGCCGGGCATATAGTTTTAAGTGTGTTGGAAACACCACTGCTTCTCATTTTTGGTTTCACGGCAATGCAAGCAAGTTGGCGTTAAGATTTGCACAAACCAGGTTTTTGGATTTTGCGAGGCTTAGAAAATTTCCATAAATTTTCAACTTCCGCTTTTTGGATTTAAAGCACTATCAACGCGTTGACAGTTTGCTTAAATCAACGCTGCAGCCGCCACGCAAAATGACAGAGCAAGGAAGAATACTTCCGAGAAACGGTGAACACAAAAACACGTGTTCGAAAATTAAACCAAACCAAACCAAACATATGCAACTGCAAACTCAGTGGATTCGGAAGTGCGCAGGCACCTTTTTCCTTGGTGGCAACACTGGGCGTGGTCGTGTCACACATCATGGCAAGTCGGCCATGACCCATTCGTTCATCTGCATGTCAAGCAAAAAGGGCATGGAGCCCAACCATCCATCCAAAAACTGCCATGCTTTCTGTTCCAAGAAAAACATCGAGGCACCTTCAAAAACACGTGCCGGGCCGCTCATGCCATATCCCCCCTATTAGCCGGTTGATCCAGCTTGCCAAGACATTTGCCGATGACCAGACGGATCAAGTCTGGAGAGAGGGGCTTGGCATAGATGCCGTCTCGCTTTCCCCGGGATGGGGCATCGGCTATGTTGCTGCTCGAGGGCACCCTCGTGTACCATGCAAGGATACCACCAACGTCTTCTGCCTCTAAAAGCTGTGCTACCAAAGACCTACCAGGCTCAGTGCGGGCTGACCCACTGATGCTGACGTCACGAGTGGAGTTGTTATCAATATAGGCAACACAAGGCCTTTGTCGGAGTTGCTTCCTCCAAACTATCAAGGCTACCAGAAGGGCTAACAGCTCAGCTTCAAAAATCACCGTGCTTTTCTCAGGATACCCAAGTGCCAACAGGTCCGTGGGCAGAAGAGAAACTGAAAACGATGACAATTGGCATCCCCTGTTGTCCACCAGGACTCCACCAAGGCCACATGGCCAGGCCTCGTCATCGGGGTTGAAGGAAGCATCGGTGAAGACAAGGAAGGGAACATCCCACAGGGGAGTAATTTCACGGGGTCTACAGCTCACCAGGCAGTTCCGGAAGGTCCTCAAGCAGTCACAGGTGTGCT